CGGCAGCACCTGCAGCGGGGGATGCATGGAGCGTTGGGCACATTGCAGGACCGCCTCGGAATGACAGCCAAGGCCACGGATCAGCAGATCTGCCCGCGCTCACTTCTGGCGACGCGCTGCCGGGCCCGACGCGCACGACGTTCGACCCAAGAGGGTTGCCTCAGCCGTGCTCGTGGCTCGTGGCCTCTCGCCCCTGCAGGTGGGGCCTCACAGACTCGGGCCGCTCAGTGGGCCCAGCCGGACTGCACCACGAGGAGAGCTGCGTGCTTCGCTTCTCGTGGTGGAGCGCTCGTCGAGAGACGCGCTCCGCGTCGCGGACTGCGAGGAGGTGGCCAGAGGCTGGCGGGCAGCGCCCCACAAACAGCCAGCGGGGCCTGAAGCGAACCTGTGGCGCGAGGCCCGGGCCCAGCCCGAGGCCCAGCAGCGTGGCCCTAGCACGATCGCGGTGCTTCAGGTGCCGCCCCAGCGGTAAGGGCGCGAGGCGATGGGGAGGAGGACGCCTTCGCGGCGCGCGCAGGCCAATAAGGCAGCAGACTGCCTGGCAGGAGAAGCGGCCAAGCGGCCTCGAGTCCCAGAGGCAGATCGTGCTCGACCGCGGCCGGTGGAGTTCAGGGCGCAGGTCGCGCGGCGGAGGCTGCCGCAGGCTGATCCGCCCGCGGCGCAGGCCGAGGGCCCTGCGACGCGGCTGCAGCGCGGCGCGCCGGGAGCCTGCGCAGGACGTGGCCCCTCACCCTCAGCCTGCCCGGGCCCCCAGACCAGCGCCCCTGGCGGTTGCGCGCGCGGCGTCTCAGCACGCCTTGACCGAGGGCGGGCGGAGTTGTAGCGTGTGCAGATCGTCGAGTCCCCAAGCTGAGATGAGTGACTGGCCATAAAGTGAGTGCGCCCCCTTCAAGCTTCTAGTAGCACGGACTTAAGACTTCCCAGAGGACGGCGTGCACATCTCGCTGGAGGTTGGAACGGTTGGGCCCACCCCCCGGCACTGCATGGTTCATAAAAGGAGAGCTTCGGAGTTGGTTGTGTGATTGCGGTGTTTTCGGTCAGGGCCAACTCAGGGGTCTTGCAAAACATTGCCTGAAACCAATCACGACGACGCGCCGCGGGCACCTTAATAGGGTCTCTCGCGGCTTGCACCCCGAAGCCTGAGTTGCATGGAAAATTGCATCACACATATGATGATGGTAATCCTGGTAATCCTTCGCTTCCTCCCTCCTCCCTTCTCCCTCATCCTGCGTCCTCCTCCGCCCTCCCTCTTCTGTCCTGGCGGTCGTCCTTCTCCCTGCATCGAGGTGACCATGTGGCCCTGACTGGACGGGAGTCGGATGCGCAGAACCAAGCGCCTCGTTCGATACGTCCCCAAGATCCGGCCGCCCGAAAATGCGTCGCTCGAGACATCCTCGCAGCCTGTCCGGAGCGCAGAGAACTCCACGCCACCCGCCCGAAACAGCCACAGTCCACCTCGCTGCCGCCCCGTGCCGCGTCATCGCCGCCCACTGCCTGGAGAGCACGCCGAGGTTCCGCCGCGTGGCCCCCCGGCTGCGGCCTCGCTGCTGGCCGCCGAGCTGGGAGGGGTCCGCGGAGGCTTCGCCGCTCTGCCGCCCTCGTCCTCGTTGCAGGCCACGCGCGCTGGCTGGGCCCACCGAGGCTTCGCCGCGCTGCCGACCATTGTTGCCAGATTGTCGCCCGCACCACGTAGCTTGCACTGCGTAGGGCGTAGGGGGCACAGCGCAGTTTATGCTACGTAGCCCAGGCACCGAAACCCCCAACTTCGACGAAGGCCACGTGGCCTGCGCACCACTGCCCACACCACGTGGCTTAGGTCGCACAAGACTGACCCCAGCATCCCACACCGCACGTATCCTTCACCGCACAGGTCACGCCGCACAGCTCTCACCTCCACGGTGCAGTCACGCAGTGTCTGGGGCTCACCCCGGCTGGCAACTTTTTAAACGGCAACCGTCGAGACCACCCCCAGGACAACCACCAGGACAATCCAGCGGGACATCCATCGGGAAGACCATCGGGACAAGCGCTGGGACAATCGTCCGAAAAACAGGGAGAACCACGGGCACAACTGCAGGACAGCCGCGAGACAACCGCGGGGCAGCCACGGGACAACCGCGGAGCAGCGACCGCTAACGCTAACTAGACGATGAGAGCCTGTTACCCTGACTTAGCCTTCGCCTCGCCCGCAGACACGACGCGAATACGAAACGGATGCTGGTTTCCCCACGGGTGGTACCCGTCTGACTTCGGTTTCGCCCGAAAACTCTGGGATCTGCCCATGCCACAATCACCGCTGTCAGGGGCTCGCGTCGACCAGGGCGCTCATCCAAGCCGCCCCAAGACTTAGATCGGGGGAACAACTCGATAACGTGTCCGAGCCAAAACATCCTCCGGGAAATCTCCCAAACAATATTTCCTCTCGGACATCTCCGTAGCAAGACCTCCCGGAAAATCCTGCCCCTCGGATGTGCCCCGGAAGATCTCTCAAAAATAACTTTCAAAATCATGTCCATTGAACTGTCGCCCTACATCCCAATACATTATAAATCCCTCCGCATTCCGGAGTACCCAGAGATTTCGCCTCTCGGAAATCTCCTAGCAAATCTTGTCCCTAAAAGGTCTCGGTGGAAATCTCCCGGAAATCTTGCACCTCGGAAATATTTCAGAACATCTCCTGGGACATCTCCCAGAACAGATTGCCAAACATATTTTCATTGAAATGTCGTACATTCCGTATATTTGAATGAATCATAACACATTCAAAAAAAAAACTGAAAAACACTGGAGAGTTCGCCAGAAACTGGGCGCCACCGGTAAACTGTCAACCACAGTTTGTTGCTTTGCTCTGAGCTCACAGGCCTGGAAAACCACGCCCGCGCAGGTCGCGGTTCGTAGCTACAGAGCACTACCTGCCAAACGCAGGAGTTGCCCACGCCTTCTCCGAGACGTTTGCTGGCCTACAGCTCAGCTTGACGAATCGCACAACAGGGGCGGAACGGCAAAAATCTCATAAGCTATATTGCACAATTATGAAGCATGCGAGTGATGGGAGCAGTATGAGGCAGTTGTTAATTGTTTTTTGGAAAGTATAAGTGCTCGACGCATGCTTATTGTGACGCGACTGCGCACGTACAAGACATCATATACATAATGAGCTGTGACTGCTAGATTGTCCTACGCCCGCCTGCTTGGGGCCACGAAATGGTTGTATAGAGAAGGAACCACGCATGCTGGAGCGCAGACTTGGAAAAATCCGCATGGGCCAGACTCATATTACGTTTGATCCGCCTTAAACTTGAATCTCGAAGTCCAACATAACAGGGGGTCCGAAGCTACTTTGTGGCAGATCCTTGCACGGTGTTGGCTGCGGCTGGGAGATTTAAATTGTCGTACCAGGGAGCCACCACGAAATTTCATTGGGATACGGTTTGCTTAAATAATCCAGGAGCTAGCATTTTCGAAGTTATACGCGAGACGGTTTTCAATTCTCTCTTGTTGTTTGGCCCGAGCCTCCCCCGTGATGTTGTTTAGGTCCTCCTCCCCCTCCAATATCTTGGGATTCCAGGGCGCAGGTTCGAGAAGTAAGACTTGTAGCGTCCAAACCCAGAAAGCAGGGCAGCTCTGAACGCGCCTATGCCTTCCACCGCGCGCGCACGCACCGCCACCGCAGCACACCACCACCCACTCCTACATTCACACATTCACACATACACACACGCGCACATACAAACAGACAGACACGCACGCACGCACGCACACAAACACATCATCATCCCGCTTCCCTCATCACCATCATCAACAACACCACCATCATCAACACCAACATCATCACCACCATCATCGTCATCATCATCATCACCGGCATTATCATCATCCCTTATGGATTACCCTCTTCTTCCTCTTTCTTCTCCCCATCATCCCCTCCCCTCCCTCCCTCCTCGTTCCTCCCTCGTCCCTCGTGCCTCGTCCCTCCAAAGCATCCATCCATTTCCTCCCCACCCCCCACCCCTTCCTCCACCCCCACCTCACTATCGTACGCACCGTGCGGCGGGAGTGGCGACGGACCTGCTGGCTGCAGCGGCGACGACGGCGGGGGGGGAGGCATGATGTGAGCGTTGAAGCAAAAACCGTCTGGCCTCAGTCGAACGCCCGTAACCCCCCCTTTTTTGTAAGCCGGCGGCGCAAAGAGACCTCAGGCGCGGTCGGCAGGTGGAGGTGCCAATCGCAAACGAACCTGGTCGAACGCACCATGATGAAAGAATTGTCACGGCCATGCAGATGGTGGTGAAAACGGGAAGCGGCCCCCCTACACTCTACACAAACACACACACCACCCACCCCTCGGGAAGACTTGAAAAAACATGCGGGGCAACATTCACTTGGTAGCATGTTGCCAAACATCAATTCTCGAGTGTTATGCGATAACTGATCCTGCCTTTCGTCGCATGCGCAACATTTCATCGAGGAACAGACGGGACCGCACATGCTCCGTGGGGAAGCCGCGGGGAAACTGTCGGATGTCGCAGGCGATCCTTAAGATGGTTCGGCAGCTCTGCAAATGCTCGCAATCATCGAAATCAACATGGTCGCAATCAACACCACCATTACAACTACAACAGTCACCACCACCAGGTTGGACACCATCATCAGAAGCATAACGAGCATGATCATCATGATCCTCTTCCTCCTCCTCCTCCTCCTCCTCTTCCTCCTTATCATCGTCGTGAGCAGCAGTAGCAGCAGCACAACAACATCATCGTCGTCGTGGCGTCATTGCGGCATCGCCGCCATCGACATTGTCATCGTCGCCATTACAATCACCGTCATGGTTGTCGTCATCATCGTCGTCGACACCATCACCGCCGTCATAACCATGGCGCAAGACGACTACGGATGCGAATCGCAAACCAGGCCCTCTGAACCGATGCGCCTGCTATCCTGGGCAGCAAATGTGCCGCCCACGATCGATCTCCACCCGTTGAGGTCGCTGGCCGGGCCTGGCAAAGGATGTCGGTCCCGAGAATGGCCTCGCGTCAGCGCGAGCAACAGGGGCGGATGAGACGACAGGGAAGGGGGGATGGCGGAAATTTTGAAAGGGAGGCGGGAAGGCGGGAAGGGGCAGCGGGGAGGGGGGACGGGACGCTAAAAAGCGGGCCGGAAATGACGAGTGCGCAGCGGGGCGGGGGGAGCCTCTTCGGCGGTCTGGGGGCGGTCTCAGGGGCTGTCGGCTGTCGTGGACCGTCGGCATGTGGAAAATGCGAGGCACCGGAAAAAAACATAGAAAAAACAAAGGCACATCCAGGATGTGGGGGTGGAGGAGGGCTCCCTGGGCCCTGGGCAGGGGCCCCAAGAGAGCCCCCGCGGGGCCTCCCAGGCGACCTCCAGAGCGCACCGGCAGGTCCGCAGGAGGCCTCCCGCCCCTCGGGGCTGGGGCCTCCGCGGGCCTCCGCGGGCCAGCGCTCAGTTCGCGCGGGTGCCTCCCGCAGGCTTCCGGAGGCCTGCAGGAGGCGGCCGCGGTGTTCCTTCGGGTGCGTGCGGGTGCGCCCTGGGAGTGCCTGGAGGCTCCCACTGGTGGCGCGCTCCGTGTGGCCTCGCTCTGAGGAGCGCTGGGCAGGCGCAAACTATGGATTCGCACGTCCCGCACGGCGCCGCGCATGTTACTGACCTGCGCCCTTCAGAGCGAATGAGCAAACATGGAGAGAGCTCGTGGGAAACGTCTGAAATATTGCAGGAGGCACGCGTTCCTCCCCATGTCGCTCCAGGTAACGTTGCGCCGACAGCCATGGGCTGTGAGCCGTGCATGCCATCATCGAACCCTGGGAAGGGACGCGCACGTGCAGAGTTGCCCAAACATCGCTCTGGGGGGCGCCATGCCAGTCGAGATCGCACCGTTACCAGTCCGACGATACACTACAGTCAACGCGCCTAGTAAGGACGCGCGCCTTCATCTAGGGTACCCTTGTGTCCTTGTCTCTGAGGCCCATCCTTGCCATTATCACTGGTCGCCCGCCGCCCTAAAAAACCAACTTCGGCCTCCAAGGGTCTTGCGTCCTTATCACCTGTCCTTAATATACGTTTTGACTGTATGCGAAATATCCGCTCTACGCTGCGGCGTGTTGGGAGGCCTGTTGAGCTGCCTGGCAGGGCGTCTGCAGCGCCCGTGGGCGGCCCGCTCTCCCGGACACGTTCGCTTCCCGAACACACACAGCACATACACGCAGGCGCGCACGCACGCACGCACGCACGCACGCACGCACGCACGCACGCACGCACGCACGCACGCACGCACGCACGCACACACACACACACACACACACACACACACGCACACACACACACAAACATACGCAAACAACACACGCACACACACACGAACATACGCAAACAACACACGCACACACATACACACACATGCATCTCTAGTGCCCTTCTGCTGGCCTCGGCACGACCAAGGAGGCCCAAGACCGCTCCAACACGGCCGCACGGTTTATCCCCCGGGTAGGCCAAGAAGCTTGGAGCCTCCAAGAGACGCCCAGCGAGGCCCCCAGAGAGGCCAAGTTAGCCTTGGACAAGCTTCACAGATCCCAAAGATCCCCGCACGGCCCAAAACAGACCTTCCGCACGGCCTGTCCCCCACAGACGTCCAAGGCGGCCGCAAGAGAGCTCCAGGATGCCCGCCTCGACCCGCCCAGACGGCCCCCAGAGAGCCATGCCTGTGCGGTGTTCGCTGCTGCGCTGCCACGGAGGCAGAGCTTGCCGCAGGCAGCCATACACATTAGCCCTCACACGTGGGCTCATGTCCACGCACATTGAAATTGCAAAACAAAAACGCACATCCTGAGAAACACTCGAGCGCACTCCTGTACGAACATATGCGCGTACACGTAGTGAGCACCAACTCCTAGCGTACAGAGCATGTACGAGATAAGTAGACGAGCCGCACAAAATGCTGCTACTTACCACACATCTGTATGCCGAACCTGCCAAGAATCAAGAACTCGCAGTGCTTCTTCAAGAAACAACAACAAATCTGCTCTGCCGACTGCAACGCGGTGACACCACATCTCCTGCCACCTATCCTGATACTCGTGTCCTCCGCCAGGTCTTCTGAACCATGACAGCCTGGAACGCATCTCGAAAAGAGCAAACACGCACACATGTACTCGGTTCTTTATGCCTCTATGTGTTTCTTGCTGCATGCAGTCCCTATTTGAAGGGGCCCAGGGACACACAAATAAATAGGCACAAATAACAGGATTCCAGATTTTCTCATATTTTCTGTGTTTGTCTTCCCCCCAACTTCCCATAGTTTCCCTTACTTTCTGGGGAATCGACGATGAATTGTGTCAGTGTGTTTTCCCTTCTGACTATTTCATCGCTCCGCCAAGGGCCTGTGGAATGCACTCATGCTGCACCTCCGATGGATGCTCAAAGCCGCAGTCCACGATGGCGCGCATGAGCTCGGCCTTCAGCAGGAAGTCGCGGAAGCCTAAGAAGGCCATCGAAAGGCACAGGTTTTTACCTGCTGTCTCGCTCTCCACTCCTCTTGTGAGCGTGGAGCAGCCAGGCTCGGACGCCCAACAGCTCAATCCGAGCAGCATGGCAAGCCGCGCAACAGTGCATGCTCCCAGGAGCAATACGACAACACAATTACATAGGAATCCCCCACAAAGCCATGCTCGCAAGCCCGCCAGCCGTGCGCAGGCACGCGCACACGAGAATGCGAATGACATAGCATATCGAACCGCTCGCCGCACAAGCCCTAACGCGCGCTCGAAAACAAAACATTTGAGAGCATACTTCGGACATGTCGCAACCACAAACCGCCCGTGCCAATGAGCTAAACACCGAATCAGATTCAGAAATAACTGCAGTTAAAAGTGTGGCTGACCCACACATCATGAAGCGCCAGCACGACAGCCGCCGACTTCGGCAGGAGGCAAGAGAGGGCGCTGCACGGGAGCTTGCAGGCTTAGGCCGACGGTAAGTTGCACAAGGCGACCGAGGACGATGACGACGACCGGATATTAATGTAAGATGAAGCCAGGACGAGGATAAAATTCGGGTGAGGGTAAATCGAGGATCTCTCAGATCTGGCGGCTCTGGAAGATGTCTCGGGCGCGGCGGCCTTCTCAGAGCGCCCTGGAACGCTCTGAGAGAGCCTTCCGGAACGCTCTGGAATGCGTTGACCCTCGCCCCAGCCCCGCCCAAAATTGCCGGTGCAGAGGAGCGAATGAGGGAGGCAGGGCCGACTGCCCGAGGCAGAAAAGGGGTGGAGGAGGAGGAGGAGGAGGAAGAGGAGGAGGAGGAGGAGGAGGAGGAGGAGTGGCTGGGGTAGGGGGATCGCGCCGGAGCGCCGATGGGTCGGCAACACGCCGGCGAGACCGGCGACGCGTCGGCGCCTCCTTGTGAAAGCTGACGAAAGCTGGCGCGACCTGCGCCTGAAAGAATCTGCCTCCTCCTCCTCCTCCCTCCCCCTCCTCCTCCTCCTCCTCCTCCTCCTCCTCCTCCTCCTCCTATCTCCCTGACTCTTCGTCAACAAGGTCTCCAAAGCAGATGATCATGCTAGGGCTGCTAATGGGTACCTGAGGAGTGGATCGTGGCGAAGCCGCCCTTCTTCTTGCCGTCATCGCCTCGGGGTTTCGCGAGGGCCAAACTGCCCAGCTGCCTCTTCGTCTTTTGTTATGTGTTTGTTTCTCTCTCTCTCTCTCTCTCCCAATCCTTCCGTCATTGTTTTTTCTGTTTATCTCTCTCTCTCTCTTTCTCTCTCTCTCTCTCTCCTATTGCTGATGCGCTTCGCTCATGCCGCCACGGATAGGTCACAACTTGACCTGAAAGCACTGGCGTCGTAAAGGCCCGATCTTCGCGCTGAACGCCGATCCGAACTTATCATATGAACTCGTGCAGATTGAGACCTCCTTGGACCTCGCCTCCTATGTGTGCCGCGTTTTGTTGGCTTTCGCTTGGCATCCATCCACCACCGTGCAATCTTCCGCGTTGAAAACTGTATGATAAAACTGGGAAGGTGAACGCGCAATGGCCTCAACTGGTACGGTAGGTTTGTGCGGCGTCGACGCGCGCACAGTTTTTGACACCGCGTCGATCGTTCAACCTTGAATCGATCGCGACCCCGATCGTTCAAGGTTAAGTTCCGTCGGGTCCAACGGCCTTACAATGTCCCTCGGTGCTTTCGCGTCGTTCTACCATGATGCTTTCAACCTTGAACGCCTTCGCTGGCGTCACGGGCGCGCCATATCCGGTACATCGGTCTCGGGACCAATGCCTGTTCGTATCGCGTGCGCAGAGACGGCGTCTAAGACGGCTCAGAGACGCCCCAAGAGAGCCCCAAGAAACTCCAGAGAGGCCCCCGACTGGCCTCCGACGGCATCAGACGGGCCATAAACACCCCAGGACGGCCAAAGAGGCCCTCCCGAAGCCCCCAGAAGCCCCCAAGAGCCCCAAGGGGGTGCCCAAGAGGCTTCCAAGACCCCCAGGATGCTCCAGGAGGCCCCAAGAATGACCCAAGAGGCTCCCAACAGGTATATTCCTCCTCCTCTTCTTTTCCTCCTCCTCCTCCTCTTCAGTGATTACCCCCCCCCCAATCCTCCTCGTCCTCCTCCACGTGTTCCCCGAAGGCGTTTCAAACCGACTCGGCGAACACATGGTCCGACAGCTTGGCCAAGCTCTAACCCGACTTGCGGCCACATAGGCGTTTCCAAACAAGGCAGGGGGCGGCGGTGATTCGCTGCAGGCGTCTTCGATGACGGGCCTCAGGCAGGATTGGGGAACGGGTCGGCTCCTGTCAAGTCTGATGTCGTGCTGCCCGGAGCTCCGTCGGTTCAAAAACGCAAGACTCCCACATGCCTCCCTCCTCCCTCCTCGCTCCCGCCGGCCTCCCTCCTCCTGACCCTGGGGGTAGGAAAGGGGTATGGCGTTAAAGGGGTGTGGTGTCGGTGCTGGATCTGGCGAGGTCATCCATCGTAGATCCACCCGCCACCTCCACGAAGGGCACCACGCCCCATCTTCGCCACACCCCTCCCTCCGACCTCCACAAAGACTGGCAACCCGTGCTTTCTTCGCCGCCCCTCCCGCCCGGCCGGCAGGGCCCGCTCGCCTTCCTTGGGCTCCTCCTTCGCCTCCGCCCTCTCCTCCTCGTCGAAGTCGGGCAGCTCCTCCTCGCCGGCCATGGCCGCTCGCCTGGGCAAAGGCCTCCGCGGCCAGGACGCGTGGGCGGAGCAGCGCCGTCCAGCAGCGGCGTGCGCGAGGCCTGCCCCCGGGCCCCGAGAAGCGGCTCTGTCGCGGCAGCGGCGGGGGCGGTCTCGCTGCCTCGGCTGGGAGCTGGCGCCGTGCGGGCTGGGCGAGAGGAGGTCCTGGAAGGTCAAGCTGCTTAGCTCTAGCATCAGTCAACAGTGTGGTTGATCGTCCATCCATCTACCACTTGAGTCTCATACCTTCTACGGAGAGGAGGTCCTGGAAGGTCGTCCGCCCCGATCGAGGTCCCTCCGCCCTGGGCCGAGTGTGTGCCCGCCGCTCCTGGAACTCCTTCGCTTCGACGTACAAAAGCGCCCCAGCGATCGAGCTGGAGCTGAGGCTGGCCCGAGAGCATCATGGCGTTGCTTCGACGCATCTCGCTCATTCTCTGGAGGACCTCGGAGATACTCTGAAGTGTGGGCCGCATCTTCCTTGCCCGCCGAGGCCGATGCACCACGAGTGAAAATCAGGGCTCAAGATGAGGCCAGCTTCGATGTCGACGCACTGGAATTTAGCGGGAGGGGGCGCCGATTGGCTCGCTGCTCTGTGGCACGCGCCAGCTGAAGCCCCTCGAGCGTCGAGGTGCGCTGCACCTGTCACGCGCCCTCCTCCGCCCAGGCAAGGTGCCGCGCAGCGCGTGCGTCATGCAGCCAGTGCGTCTCATCCTCCGAGACAAGACCCGACGACCACCCAGTGCCTGCTCCTCGATGAGCGCAGCGTCGAAACACGAGGTGGAACGTAATGCGTCATCCTCTCGAGCAGGGCACCTCGCGGCAGGGCCTCGGGAAAATGGCCCACAGAACTGCACGTGCAAATCGACCACGACCACCAAGCATATTCAATTTACGAGTGGAGGGCTGGCACGCGTGTTCATTCAGAGTCTCGACATCCATGACCCAGGTAACTCGGGCAAGGCGCCCCAGAAGCGCTCAAGCTGCCTGGAGTGGTATTCTGCGCAGCCAGGCCGAAACGATCACTATGACTCCACGACTCGGACAGGCGTCCGATGGCGGCCCCCCTCTCCACGTGCGCTCTGGGCGATCGCGAAACGGTGCAGCTTGGCTGCTGGCAGCAGTAGAGCTGGCAGGGCGCGAGCTAAACAATGTTTTCACGTCTCGTGATATCTCCGCCGTCCCTCGTTCTGCCTCTGCCCCGCCCGTGCTGCAGGACGCGACCGAAACGAGAACGGCCCACGAGGTCGCCAGAACGACGTGCTCAGCTCGCGCCCTGAGAGCTGGTAATAACGCGCCAGGCCGTGCCGAGGTAGAGCACTGCGTCGGCGAACGAGCTGGCGGCGGCCTCCCTTTTCCACGCGCTGCACGGACAGCCACGACCCGGAGCACCGCGGCCGCCGACAGCACCTGGTGCCAGCAGGAGGCCCCAGGCAACGCCGCGGTAGAGCAGTGCGTCGCTCCCCCCTGGCAGCAGCAGGCACGGGGGCGAGAGCAGGACGGGGGCGTGCTGGTCTGGCCATCGCTCGGACGTCCATTCCGTGTGTTTTTTTTCGGTTTCGTGCGTGGCTTCTTCGCCACATGGTCAAGGATGCTCCTCGATGGTCCTCGCCGAAGGAAACATGCACACGTCCGAGCGATGCCAAGTGGTAGGAGGGGCGTGGCGAACGAAGAGGGTGAGGGCATCCCCCCCCGGCGACCTGGCCCTCCTCCAACTTCCACTCCATCCCTCTGCCTTGTGAATGGCTCCTCCGTGTCGCGTGCTGGTAGGAGGGGCGTGGCGAACGAAGAGGACGAAGGCATCCCCCCTCCGGCGACCCGGCCCTCCTCCAACTTCCACTCCATCCCTCTGCCCTGTGAATGGCTCCTCCGCGTCGCGCCCCCAAACGTGTGTCGGCAGAGCGGGCTGGGCGTCTCGCCCGAGACTGCCCCGCCACTTATGGTCCTGGGGTTTGATATCTGTAATATGCTGACGGATGGATGGCAGATCGCTTTTGAGGTCAGGGGGCCACATGCGAACCCTACCCCTACCCCCCACGATTTCTGAGGGGGAGGGTGGGGTTCACTTCGTTCGGGAGCTCCCGAGCGAAGTGAACCCCACCCTCCCCCTCAGAAATCGTGGGGGGTAGGGGTAGGGTTCGCAGGTGGCCCCCTAAAGGTGTCTATCGCCCTTCGCCGCGCACATTCGTTTTAAGCAGCTTGCAACAATTACACGGATGGAGAGCGGGTCGTTTCCAACATGTGACTCTAGCCGTGGCGCCGCGCAAATGCGTCTTGAAAGCACGCGCACTTTCAAGGATGGAAGGCGTCACCTTTCCGAAATGCACCTCTCGCCTCAGCGCCGCGCACAGTCGTCGTAAAGGCTTGCATGGTCGAAGTCCGAGGAATGGCGTCCTGGCACGATTTAGGACTGTCAGGACGTAACAGACGTTACTTCGTGGTGTTGAAGCCCAGGTGCTGGCACGACTTCGGATTGTCAGTACGCCTTCCGATCCAATCCAATCCCCCTTCCTTCAGCCTTCTCCACGAAGGAGGTTGGACCGAGGGCATACCCCCTCCTATCTACCAGGCGACAACCATGACGCCCCCTCCCTGACATCACACATGCATCGATCACACGGTCCACCCGTCCATTACATGCCCCCCTCGTCCTTGCTAGGAAGGTCCTGGAAAAGAAGGGCTGCCGAAGACAGCAACGTTCGCCCGTGACAGGAAACCAGCAGAACAGTCGCGTCTCTGAGTGGGCAGGGGGGGTTGTGGTACTGGCCCTCCATCTCATAAGGGGGGAGGGGGGAGGGGGGGCAATTGCATTTCAATCAACAATGGGGCAAGGCGTCTCGAAACAACGATTGACGACGCGCCAACAACATACGCATCCCAAGGAAGACTGAAAACAATTGCGGTGCGAACGTGACGATAGATGAAGATGGAGAGGTCATGTGGGGCGTGTGTGAACCCTCTGGTGGGAGGAAAGCGGGATGCGCTTCCACCCGTTGAGGGAGGAAAAGGAAGGCAGACGAGGAATGCGTGAAGAAGAACGAACCGACTTCCATCTGGCCCTAAAGTGCCGCTACATTGGGTCCGGAGGCAAGAACATGTATTGGGGTAGGGTGAATACCTGCGAGGCGGAGGATGCACATTCTACGAAATGAGAAGAAGCCCCGGCCTGCACGTTGGCAAAATTGATCGGCTGAGAAAGGGTCGCGTCGCTGAGTAACCGCATTTGGACCTTGACGCACTCGTGCGGGCAGCCAGCATGAACACCATTGGAGATCCGATATGTATGATAATTTGCTGCCTGATGTACAAGGATGTCCACAACGCGCAACATCGAGCATGAGGGCTTCCATTGCGACAGTGTGCCTGAGTGGATGGCAACCTGTAATGCCACGGTTATCGCGCTTCATGATAAACCTTCAAGCGAAATGCTTGCTGCTGGTCTGTTCACGAGATGAAGCATGCGCCTGTCAATCTCGCTGTGATTGCCGAGGGGTTAATGCAAACACGTTGGTATGCTCTTGTGGTTCGCCTGGATCACATAACTCTCCGTCCATATGTAGTTGTGCCACAAGATGGGGCATTTGCGTCCCATTAGAAGTCGCGAGGGAAACATGCGGAGCTCATCTCACGGCTGTTGATCGCATTGCGATGAGGACGTTCTGCGCAGATTGCGATGAGGACGTTCTGGCAATTCTCTGTCGACACTCCACCCCTGCAAAACGATGTTGCCCGCATGGGGGGCATCTCTCCGCGTGCCCGTGGTGGAAATGATCAGGTGGCCGTGACTCCTCCGCTTCGCACTCCGTCACCTCCGACTGGGCCAGGTTCACGCTGGTGAGCTACAGGATCTCACGCAGCCCCCTTGCTGGTCTCCAAAAAAGCAGCGGGTCCTGAGGGAAACGGGTCCTGGACCCTGGGGCCTTCCCGCAGGACCAACTTTTCATCCCGAGTCGTCTTCTGACAGTCCCGGGGCCAAGGAAACCAAGAACAAAAGGAAATCTCAGGACCCGTTTCCCTCAGGACCCGCTTCCTTCAATAAGCAACAAGATTCAGCATAAACCTAATGTCTCTGAGTTCGGTGCGCATTTCTTGGGTCGAAAATAGACCCACCTCTATGGCTCGCAAAAATCGCGCCAGGGGCGGCGCTGGAGGCGCCGCCAGAGGGTGCTCGAGTCTCAGTGGTCAGCCCCCCACACTCTGGCGTCGGGCCCTGGTTGCGCACCTAGAAGACTGGCGTGCTTTCCCCCCCGGGCACAAGGATGAAGCGTAGCGTCTCGTTCTGCCAGCCGGAGACGACCGACCTCGGGCAGTTCACTACACAAGGCCGCAGCGCTTCCTCGTCTCACGGAAAACCAAGTCCGCCAGAACCCCGTCCTGGTCCCCACTGCAGAGCTCCCACACACGTAAGTCTGCTCTGCCCCAGCGGTGGGTGCACCTTTCGCAGGTACACCTCGCGCTGGTCCTCCTTGTTCGCCGCCTATATGGAAACCCTCGCCGACGAAGACATGCTGGAAATGCTCCGCCCGCTATGCCCTCATCAGGTCCCGACGCTCGGTCTTCCGCAAAGCAGTGGAGGCCCAGCCAGCCTGGGCATCCGCTTCACAGGCGCCCGCGAGCCACAAACAACGCCTGCTGGCTAATGTGCTGCTCCTCCTCCTCATCATCATCCTTCTCCTGAGCGTCGAAGGTGACCCGAGGAGGGAAAGGGGAACAACTGCACTCGCCACTGGGATAATCGACCGGGCGCGAATCACTTTCAGAGCGAGGCCGCCCATGTCACAGCGCGGCCTGTCACTCTGCCTGCGCCCTGCCAGGCAGCTGCCACACCTCCTCGTCCACCCCTCGGACCAGATCCCCGAGGCGCTGCTTCCTGGGCTCCAGAAGCTGGTTCGATTGTTGCCGCCCGCTCTCGGCCTGCTTCTGCATTGCCACCGTGATGCTCAGCCGCGAAGCACCGTTGTCAGCGTCGGCTTCGCACGCGTGTTTCTCCGCGCATCCTTACTATCCTCATCTTGCGGCACCCGCGGAGTTGGTCTCTGCTGTGGCTCGCGCCGCGAACGTCCCGATCGTGTTCAGGCGCCTTCTGCGTCTGGAGGCGACTCCGCCTTCCGGCTTCCCTCGATGCGCACCCTGAACGAAGCGTCTGTCACCTGCGGCATGACGGCGCAGTGGCCAATCTGCTGCTTCCTGCTGGCAGGGTCTCGAGTCCTCTTAGCGACTCCGCCGCCCTTGTTCAGCTCAGCCCGCTCCAGCACGCCCAGCCTGCCAGCGGCCCCGCCGCCGTAGGCGCACCTGATGCCGCCTGGGGGCACTGCAGCTCATGAGCCAGAACGTCTGCGGTTCGGCTCAGGATGACGAGGAGTCATGGGGGAGAGGGGGGAAATAACCAAGTCGATAAGTCGGATCGGCGATCGAAATGAATCGGATCGGCGGAAATCGGCAACAAAGTCTGAAGATGTTGAACCAGCGGACGTCGGCAGGCTTGCAAGTCCTCCACTCAGAAGCCGAAGCCCAGATCGGAATCCGAAGCCGAACCAAGCCAGAATCGGAATCGATCGAAACCTAATCGAATCGGGTCGGAGACGAAACGAGCCCTGGGGCCGTGGGGGAAGCGGCGGAGGGCGGCGCAGGGTGAGGAGCGTCAGCAGCGGGGAGCTGGAGGAGGTGGCAGCAGTTCGGGCATGTCCCCCTCCAGGGTGGATTTTGGAGGAAGCATGAAACAGACTCAAAACATGCTCAAAAAGAGTCAAACAATCATCGAACATCGTCCCCTGACTACTTCCTCCACTAGAGGTGGGCGCGCCCGACTCAAAGGTGCCACGTGGAGGGGCGGCACGGGACGCCAGCAGGGCAGCGCGCGTGCTGGCACGAGGGCTTGGGCCCGGAAGGACCGGCAGGGCTCTGGGAGCAGGGGCAGGCGGAGGGGCGGCAGGGCTAGGAGAGGCTATGAGTCCACACCCCGCCAGCGCTCGGACGTCCATTCCCTGTCTTTTTCGGTTTCGTGCGTGGTTTTTTCGCCAAATGATCAAGGATGCTCCTCGATTGTCCTCGCCGAAGGAAAAATGCACACGTCCGAGCGATGCCAAGACACGGAGCACCGGGTGCGCGCAAGCACGGATTAGCGATCCATGGATTTGGCGAGCGGTCGCCAAATCCATGGATCTGGGGAGGTGCCAGCCCCAAAACGCGGCCGGTGCCGCCCCGCTCGGCAGCGGAAATCCGCGATTTCCCGTGGGAAAGGTACCCGCCGCTGATCCACGCCCCCTCAATCCATGTTTGCGATCGCCCGAGGAGGAAGCCCACACAGAGTGCTCGGTCTCCCTAGGGACTTCCTCCGTCTGGGCTCCGCCTCGCGCGGGGCAGGCGAGAGGAGAGCACACGGCGTGAGCACAGGTGTGCGGTCCGCGCGGACTTCTTGGACCTGCGCTGGTCCCCCCTGGCGGCGCCTCCGGCGGTGCCCAACCACGACTCAAGAACTCTGCGCGGGGCTGCGAGCGTATGACTATGCCAGTCGTTGTCCCTCGGGAGGCACATGGGCGGAAGCAGCTGGTCAGCACGCGCAGGCCAGGGCATCATCCCCTCTCTCTTCCTCCTGCTACCCCCTCCTCCTCCTCCTCCTCCTCCTCCTCCTCCTAACGCTCCTCCTCTTCCTCTCCTTGCACGGCAGAAAGCAGGGAGGAAAGAGAGCATAGAGGATCGACTCATAGAACGTCCACAGGGCTCCGTCTCGACATTTGCAGGCCAGCACAGGTCGTGCTGCTCAGCAGCGAAGGCGCAGGAAAAAGGTATGCACAAGAGAAGTCAGCGCTGCGCACAGGTGGGTGGTGGGGCAGGGCACCGAGCGGCGCGCGATGAGGCAGGATGAGAACATTGGCCCGATGTCGCGAAATCAGCGTCCCACAGAGGGGGGGGTCCGAGGTGTGCTTTCGTCGCCTGCTGAGAAAATGTGTCGAGGGGCATGCTCCTGGCAAAGATGATACATGACCCTGGATAGATACATATATAGTCCCCGCCCTCTCCCAGTATTTCTCTTTCTCTCTCTCGCTCTCTCTCTCTCTCTCTGTCTCTCTCTCTCTCCCTCCATATGTATGCGGATGTGTATGTATCGATCCATCTCTCCCCTCTCCCCCTCCTGGTCATTATCCTCCCTCGCCTCGGCTTGTTCCTATTTCTCCTCCCTCCCCATCATCATCCTTCCCCGCCCATGTCACGCCGAATCATCGCATCACGCCAATAGAGCAAGTACAGTGTTGACGATGTGAGCGCTGGCGGTATACTACGACATGAGCGTTAGGATGGGAACTTGGTGGGCAAGCGCATGGATGTATAGACAACAACAATGCGGCCCCTTTAGGTGCGCAGGGCAATATCAATAACATGAGCTAGGATAAGCGCCAAGTTACCTGCCTTAGCAAAGGCGCGACGACTTAGTATAGCCCCACATCTCAACAGATATGTGTTCCAAAGAGGCTAAGCTCTGGAAGCGATAGACGACAAGCGCATGCAAACGCAACGAGCAGAATTCTCCACGTACGCCACTCCGCCATCGGATAATCAGCCACCGCCTTCTCCTGAGGAGCAGAGAGAAGAGAGGATGGAGGACAGAGAAGAAAGGATGATAAGGGAGCAGGAGGCAGAGACGATGAGATGGGGAGGAGCGGAAGTGCATCGACTCTGACACGATTATTGTCTTGAGCTCGCGCCGTCTACGCAACTCATCCTGTCTGCGCTTACGAAATGCCCACACGTATGCTCCACCGCTTGCTATCCCAATCCTTCTGCTCCTCCTCCAGCGAATCCTCATCCTCCTCAACATCCCCATCATCATCACCATCAGCATCAGCATCAGCATCAGCATCAGCATCATCATCATCATCATCATCATCATCATCATCATCATCATCATCATCATCATCATCAGCATCATCATCTGCCATACGCACGTCTTGTGCTATGTAAGTGCGTGTCTTTGCCACTGTAAACACACGAATATGTGGTATGGCCATGCTATGCCACGAAACTGTGTTACGGCCGTACAATCCACGCACACGACTGTTCTGCAGCATGGGTCGTACGTGTGTGGGATTCTACGCGCACGATGCCGAACACAATGGAAATGATGTCCCATGATTGCGACATTCTGTCCCGCCTTACCAACGCGATCTTGTTACGGGCGCTTTCGAGGCAGAGTCATTCGATATGGCTCGTCCTGCAGGATGGAGTGAATCATACAAGTTTGGAAGCATGAGTTTCCACACGTCATGCCTGGATGAACTCTGCAACTCAAGAAACTCTGGCTCAGGAGCGTATTCGGCGAGTGGACGGGTGATTGACATGTATGGGCATCCTCGTTGGGACTTGTCTAATTCACGACCTTCACAATACTTCCGCAGTGGACTTCGGTCGATGTTGGACGTGTTTGGATGATTGTGGAAGTGTGGCCAAGCCCGATCAACGTACCGTGCTACGCATAATTTGTTTCTCGCTCGTCTGGTCAACGCAAGGCGTCTTCTTGAGCTCCGATGCCAGCCAACTGGCCCCGTGCCGGAGCAAACGCGCAGCTGTCGGTACTGCGTCCGAACGTGGGAATGGCATCCACACGAGCAAGGGCTGCTGATGGGCAGAAGTAGTGCGAATACATCATTGGGCACACCCAACATCACCTGCTTGCACTATTTGGAGCTGCCATGCACGACGATAAGCAATGCATATACTGGCTAAATATGGGACGACATATGCACATTGGCAGAACCGCTGTGATGTGCAAAGAACCAGATATAGAACGGGTGCTGTCTGGCTCTGGAGCGAGCATGTTTGGTCAATGTTGGCACACAGAGCAAGGGAGGAACCACAAAACGACCCGAGAAGCCACTCAGAGGGGCCACAGAGGGGGAAACCGAACTGACATTTCTATCCGTTTCCACCCCAGAGGGCCTGCGAGACTGCCAGCAGGCCCTCGAGGGGCCTTCAAGAAGCTCCCATACCCCAGAGAGGCCCCATATAGGCCCCAAGAAGCCTCCAAGTGGCTCCAACTATGTGGCCAAGAGGCCCCCGAGAGGCATCACAAGAGAACAGTCAGAGAGGCATTCAACACACCTCTGGCCCACGAGCCAGGCACGGAGAAGGGAATGGCTGAAGGCCATCAGATCTGCTGCCCCCTGTTGATTTCAAGGGTTGAATGGCGAGCTAGGCCTAGGTCGGGCATGTCCCCCTACAAACAGATGTTGGATGAAAAATAAACATACTCAAAAGATAACCCCTAAATGTTCAAATCGTCCCCAAACTCTTTGTTGACTGTTTTTGAATACTCCCCCTGTAGAGGGACAGGCCCGACTTAACGCTAGGCCTTTCAGTGCTTCGTCTTTTGGAAAAGGCTCCCACCCAGGGCTGAACCTAAACGGCGTTTTTCGTGTTCGATTTGTTTTCGTTTTCCCTAGTTTTGTATTCAATCCGCCTATTAACGCAAAACGACATCGAAACGAAGACGGCCCACGAAATCGCCAAAACGCCGTTTAGGTTCAGCCCTGCTCCCACCATGGCGTCTGGCCCAGCTCGCCGGCCAGCCGAAAACGAGCCGCACCAAGGTGGGAGACGGAGCCCCTGACGCCTCCGAGACGGCCCAAGACGCCTCCAAGACGACGAAGATGGCCCCAAGACTGAAGTCGGGCACGTCCCCCTACAGGGGGACTTGGGGCGAAAAATTAACAGAATACCCCCAACAAAAAAATCCGCCGACCCTGTCGGCGTGTGTGAGGGGCTTCTCCGTTCGACTCGTCGTCTCCGTCGTCTCTGTTCTCCCCCTCCCAGGGCTCTCCTCCTCAAGCGCGCTACCCAAAGCGAAATTAAACGACGTCGTAGTGGAGTCGAAGGGAAGCCCCTTCCCTCTGATCTCTTCCCCGCGGGGGGGGGGAGGGGGGGGGGGGAGGGGGGGGGGGCCCGGGGCAGATACGACGCCCGCCGGGGCGCACTTTCCTCGAGCGGGCACGCACGGGATGCACTTCCTCCTCCTCCTCCTGGTCCTCCTCCTCCTCCTTTTCCTCCTCCTCCTCCTCCTCCTCCTCCTCTCTCCTCCTCCTCCTCCTCCTCCTCCTCCTCCTCCTCCTCCTCCTCCTCCTCCTCCAGCTGCCGCTTGGCTTCAGCAGAGCAGCGCAGCACAGCGAGCATATGAAACCACTCTTATGGCTTGCTCTCTCCTGACACACCTCTGGGCTCTCGGGCCAGCCCTGATGTCGTCTCGTATTCTTTCCACTCTCTTCTTCAACCCGCTGCACGCCAGTGGGGACCGCATGGTTGAGCTGCTAGACGAGTTTCAGAGATTTGATATTGTTGGTTTGGC